GAGAGAAATATCAGAGTATTCCATATTACTTGCTGTAATATTTCTTTTTGAATCAATTGGGTGACCGAAGAGATAATTGGGTCTCAAAGCTGATTTTGGTATGAAGTAAATAACTTCATTCTTTTTTCAGATCTTATTTATAACAATGGCGAGAACTTTTGTTCTCTTTCTGATTGTGACGCTCTTAATTTGGTGTGAAGTTGAAGGTAAGGATTTCTAGTTTAAATTACGGGGAAAAATTTATAGCACATTTGCAGGTTTCGCTTTTGCATGAATCATTTAATTTAAGATCCTTAAGTTTAGAAATTAAATAATGAAAGAACTTAGTAGAATAGCGGGTTATTAACATTTAACCACCTGTAGAGTTACTCAGGATTTTCTGTATTGTGTTAGGGATGGTCCAATATTTTAGATGACATACTTCATATCACGCCTGGTTTGCTTTTATTGTTTTTAAGACGCGAGTGGACCTTTCTTTGATCTTTTATGTCTTTTGCTTGAAAAGACAAGATTAGCAAGTTGGAAATTGAAAATAAATGGCAGTATTTCGAGTGGAACTGTTCAGAAATCATCAAATGAAGTAACTAGGTAGAAAAGCTCGTTATGAACACTCTAACAACTGTGGAGTTTGTGAGGTCAGGTGGTCAGGTGGTTCAATATATAATTCCAATCACCATTTGAAACTAAGCGACTCACATTTCTTTTCACGACCGATTTGCTGTAACGAAGGTACTAGAGGCTCTTTCATTTTTCTTTTATATTCTTTTATTCAATTTTTTTTTTGCGTGAAGAAACAGGATTAGAAAGAAGGAGTCAAAGAGCATTACTACGAGAACACATTTCTTTTTCTACAAAAAAGAAAAGAACAAAACGGATACTAATATAATATACTTCATTCACTCTTCTTCTTGTAGCATCAGGCCAAGTTCACGTGTCCTACCTGGGATGTTATTCAGAACCCCCCTACGACTCGTTATTCTATAAAGCGTATCTAGATTATAGGCACCGTATCGATTGGACAAAGCTACCTGACTTGAGTCACGTGACTCAGGCCTGTGTTCAAGAGGCCATCAAGAGAAATTATTCGTACTTTGCCATCAAGAACTATGGAGTATGTTCCTGGGGCCCAGATGGTCTCACAATTACGACCAAAGGGACAAAAGGGTCTGGATGCTTCCTGACCATCGGAGGTCCGTCGGCTGTTTCCGTCTTCAAGATTTCGAAAACGAAAGGTGACAAAGTCGCAGCCCTGATTAAAACTATGAGTTACTTATACGTAGAGAAGCGTAAAAGCAGTCTGTTTTTCAAAAAAAAAGCCGTAGAAATCTTTGCGGAATTCAAATGTTTACATAAAGACATTTCCATACGGGGTTAGTTTATTGAGGAAAAATTTACATCTTTGTGTTATTCTTGTGCTCTAAGGGTAAGGCAGAAAAAATATTAAGAGGACACCAAGCGCCACAAAATGTAGGCATAACACATCAAGCTGAATGTTGTGATTCTCTCGGGTCTAATTTAAACTTTGTCCCATGAAACATCCATTTTGTTGTATTTGAAAAATTTACTCGTGCTTATTAACATCAAATTGCACTCGGAATCATGTTGTTACCTCTACAAATTCCCTAAGTCCAACACAAATGAAAACTGCGTTGATATCTGTCCACTTCTATTGTATCCATAAACATCACTTATATTTTTAATAACTTATAAAGCAGATCTCTTCCTCAGAAATTTGATTATTTTCTTCATATTTTAAGTTGATGGTGGGTGGTCGAACTGGGGAGCCTGGAGCGCCTGCAGCCTAACATGTGGTAACGGCAGGCAAACACGCATACGGACCTGTACTAATCCCTCACCGGCAGCTGGCGGTGCCGACTGCGTTGGAGATAACTCTCTTGAGGTTCATTCATGCAATACCAACAGTTGCCCAGGTCAGATAAGGAGTTATATCAAGATTTCTTACCCTTTCCTCTTATCATCATTTTCAACGTATGCAATAGGCACGTTTGCATATGCGTCATAAGGCTTTCTTCATAACTACTGAATCGTGCTAAGAAGCAATTAGCTTTTAATCAAAGATTGGCTCATATCAAATGTTAAAAAATGCGAAATAATGAACTTGCAAAGTGTTCTTTAATTTTAGCTAATGGTGCATGGTTTAGCCTGGGGTGACTGGAGCGGTTGCAGCTGCTCCAGTACCCGCCTAGTATAGGTGCTCTTACTTGCCTTGGAAGCGATTCTCGATTCCAACCTTTCGACGCGAAAGAAAGTGAAAGGAAATGAATAAAGATTTGGAAGAGATAATATGAGTTGCGGATGTAAAAATTTTCAACTCCTAGTTGTTACTTCTAGTTCATAGTAAATGGTCGGAGTGTGGGATCTGGGGTGGATGTAGTCAGACTTGTGGTGGTGGTGCACAAATACGCGTGACTACTTGTACCAATCCTCTCCCGAGTGGAAGTGGTACAAGTTGTCAAGGAGACAGTGACCAGTCACGACCTTGCAACACGTATTCATTTCTAAATAAGAGATTGGATCAAATATCTATTAAATCCATTTGAAAACAGACAGATGTAAAGTAAAATTTTCTTTTCGTTCTAAGTAAACGGCGGATGGTCTACTTGGGGAGTTTGGAGCACTTGTAGTCGAACGTGTGATGGTGGAGTTCGATCACGCATGCGCACATGCAGTAATCCTCTACCACAAAGCGGCGGAGCTGCTTGTCAAGGACCTGGATCTCAATCTCAACTCTGCTATAAAAATGGTTGTACAGGTAAAAGTTTCCTTACAAGGATGATACGGACAAAAAGATTTTGTACTTAATGCCCCTTGTTTAGCAAATCGTGTATTATATGACGAGGAAATACTTTACGGTTAGGACAGTTTGTTAAGTAATACTAGTGCCTATAACCGCATAGAAAATATTTAGCACTTTTTCTCGCACATCCAATCATGTAGAGATCGACTTCATTTTTCACTATCTAGCATCACCTGTGCAGCTGTGGTGATCATTGATTAGTTACCGTAGGAGTTAAGAATTTTCACAAAATTCCAAGATATTTTTAGCATTGTGCAAGTCCATCGCACATATCATTAAGCCGACGTAATTCAAGCAGATTGTGATGGATTCAGTTCTTCTTGGAAAAGTGAAATATATAGATATCAATTACAATAACCTATCAAGCGTCAATTTATTTCTATATAGTCAATGGTGGTTGGTCAAACTGGGGAGCTTGGGGCAGCTGTACACAAACATGCGGTGGTGGAACACAAACACGCAGTCGCACTTGTACCAGTCCTACTCCAAACAATGGTGGTCTCAACTGTTCAGAAAGTAGCTCGGAGTCCCAAGCATGCAACAACAACACGTGTCCATGTATGTCTAACAATTCGTTAGTGTCAGTCGCAGTATGATTCCGTCAAAGGGGCTTCTTCTAGAGGATAATGTGTATTTACATTTAGTCTTCCATCATAAAAGTTAATGGGTCTGCTAATCAACATTCTGAAGTGCAACAAACTGAGTAAGACTGTTTTGCTACAATTCAGCCACTGAGAAGTTTCAAATTCCGCACTAAACATTTATTAGTTTTGGAACCATCACTTTATATGAGGATTTTAGCCACTGGCGTTCATGGTAACTCTGTATAATAACTGACTCTGCCTTGGTGACATTTTCCCTCGTATATCTTATAGACATACAAACATGTAGCAGTTGTTTCTTTTTGTGCATCTTAATTGAGGATTCGTCACATTTGTAAAGCTTTGAAATTTATGCGATGATATGTAACATAATGGTTATTTTTATAATAAAAGCGTAATTGTCTTGATTTTATCTCTAGTTTGCCAAGAAGGAAGTACCTCATATGATCAATGCGGGCAGAGATGCACCTGTGTTCAAGGCCAGTTGGTTAACTGCGTTCGTATTCGAAAAGAATTCACTTCCATGTCATCTCTTGAGCGAGAACGGTACATTAAAGTCATATTAACAGCTTCTACTGACCCAAAATTTAAGAACGACTATGATGAGTTAATCAATCGGCATAGAAATAAGTTTTTCTCTGGAATTCATGGACGAACGCATTTCCTTACATGGCATCGCTATTTCATGTTGCTTTACGAGAACCTCCTTCGTCAAGTAGCCTGCAATTTTACGATAGCATACTGGGATTGGAGTTCAGTGTCTGGAAATCCATTCAGCACTGTGAAAAGAGAAAGCCTATGGCACACCGCGAACTCTGGTTTCGGCGGGAACGGCATAGGGCCGTATAGCTGTGTCCAGACAGGACCATTCAGAGAGGCCAATTGGAGCATCGTGCCACTTCCAGCCAATTCCTTACCAGAGCCAGGTCCTCGGTGTTTAGCACGGAGGTTTAATGGGAACCCTCCTGACTCTGTGGCAGTTCAAGAAGTCTTACGAATACCAGCGAGTAACTTCACTGATTTTGAGCTTATGCTCCGAGTGAATCTTCACGACGTTGTGCACTGTTTGATAGACGGCACCATGTGCTCGATAGACTCAGCTGCTGCCCCGGAGTTTTTTCTTCACCACGGATTTATTGACAAGATCTGGAACGAGTGGCAGAAGAAAAGTGACGCTCATAAGAATGCCTTCTTTCCAGGTATCAAAGAGGTTATGCCAGGATCTAAATTGCTACCTCAGCACGTACTCAACCTTTTGTCGCAACCGGGAGGTGTTCGAGTAGAATATCAGTCATCCAGGAAAGCCGCCAATTTATTACCTCTTTTAAGAGGTGGGTATGTTATCTTTTCTATGTAAAATTATCATTGGGGGAATATTCTCAAAGGCAGAAAAAGCAAAAAATATCTGCAATGCATATAAATGAAGATTTTTTTGTTTTATTGATTAATCTGTTATTTAGCAATAAACATGCAGTTTTCAAAAATTCGTGGTCTCATTGGCAAGAAAAAAAAAACAAACAGTCTAAACTTTCCGGGTTCGTAGTAAAGCACAGGTTTAATGAGTTTGTCGTGAGTTTTGGTGGCAACCATACTCATAATGTGATGTTATAATACCGCAATACAATACCGATTTTATTCGCCATTCATAGATGGAAAGATGGGTTTCATAACAAAATTATTAAGTTTAAAATACTTGTTAGTGACAATATATTTCTATATGGCAAGAGGGCCTCAAGAAATCATGGGGCTTCTACTATGGACTCCTTCCTGCTAAAACAAAAAGAAAAAATATATGCCTATAAGCGATACGCGTTCATTGGAAACATTTTTTTTGCCAAACCACCAATGTTAAGAGTTGGTATATCTGTAGATTCAGTAATAAACTTCGAAGAAGTTTCAGACTACCCAATACCATTGGGTAAGGAATTCCAAATTTTCGGACCTTGAAAAACTATATAAAAAAATATATAACATTTGTTGGACATTGATGGTATCGGTAATCATCGCCTCTTCTGTTGTTATACGAGTGCAAACGAGTACATCATCAAGTAAAATATCAATGTCAATGTCAAAATAAGAAGCTGCTCGGACTTTAGGGAATATTGTAGGCTCTTAAAAATATTTTTGAAAGCGCGTGCTTTGTCTTTCTTGTAAGCCCTTTCCTTCCTCAAGACCGCTTTTGCATTCATTTATTACACATGCGTGAAATGTATAGATCACATAGTAACTTAGCAGTTCTACAGTACTTGTAATTTTTCTTGATTATTGTATATTCTTGTAGTTAGTAATTTTGTAGAGCCTTCACAGATGAAGAGCCACATCTTTTCATTATTATTATTATTATTATTATTATCATCATCATTATCATTATGTGCTTGTTTCGTTTGATTTTCTTCTGTAGGACTAAGTCTCAGTGCTCTTCATCATATTCCACGGAGACAGTTTTCTGGTGTCACTGAAAAGATAATAAAGGTATTCCATTTAAAGCCATCTGAAGTGAAACGTGCAAAAGAATTGGAGAAGCTGTTGCAGCCGTTGTATTAGTTAGCTTATATTAATTTGCAATATCACTTGAATTAATAAAGTGTATCTGACGATTCAGTATGCGATGAATATCAAAATAAAGTTGAATCCATTAAAAGTTGTATTTGGTTCCTGAACAAAGTAGAGTTTAACCGCCCTAAATTTCATTGTCGTGGTAAAGTTGCGCTGTTTCCATAACATGCATGTTTAGAGCGTTTGGTTATTCCAAAGTCTATTTTATTTAATCAAAAAGACAAAAAAAGCTACTTCTCGGTAATGAACTCCGTTTAGAGTATTTAGCAGAGAAGAGAATCTAATAAATGATGGGCGAGACTTTGGTAAACAGATTTTATGGTGTGCAGAGGAGTTTTGCACGGCTGCAGCGTCGTTCCATCTCTAAATACTACAGAGGCTCGCTCATTAGACCCAAGTGTTGATGCAAATTATCGGTTACAACAGACGTTAATAATGAAAATTAAAGGAAAAAAATTATCAAAAGACAAAAGATGTGACCAAAGAGAAGCGACTTAAGTGATCTTGATTGTTAAAGCAATGCCTTTATTTTTATTGAATAATTTAACTGTAAGTCAATTTATAATTTACTACCGTCATGAGCCTATCGTGATACCTTCGCTGTGTACCGAACTTGTGGGGTACACTCTATTCTCGGTAGTCAAATTCTGTTTTATTGTTTATCGTCGACACCCACCACGCCGCGAACTTTGTATCCTCTCTTCTAAAAATCTGTCGCTTCAATCATCACGTCACCTATTTACCTTTTATTAAACTTAAACGTGAATGCGTAAGTGTCATGTCACGCAACTTCCGTTTAGCTGCTCGCTGTATCTGTGACTGCCCCCAAGCATCGCATTCGTGACATGCAAATGAATATCGACGAAAAGAAAACCGATTGTTTTCGTAGAAACAAACTTTACTCTTGAGAAAACCGCCTGTTCCGCCTTTAGCGGATGGCATGAGAACTACATCGATGAAAAAACTGAAGGTATCACTTTTGTGATCAACAAAGAAAACATGGCGGCGCCCAGGTGACGAACGGTTACTAAGTAGCACGAGTGGTCACCAAGCAAATCGGTGACTTCCTCTGACATCTGCTGTAGTATGAACTGTTACAGTATTTTGTTACGCTTGGTAAAGTTATGAGTGTATGTCTAACCGGGTACACGCATCCAAAATTTTACAACCCTAAAATAAAGTTTGTATTCAATATGAAGGCTGCATTTCAATGTAATGCATGTGATACATCACCAGAAACTCTTTTGTTCATATTGAGACTATTATCTGTTGTGTTACGGGTCAAATGTAAACAAAGAAGGTTACTTTTATTTACTCATTATTTCATTACAGTCCAAAATTGAGTGAAATTGTTCCTGGAAAACTTGGGAAATGTCATTGTGGAAGCCCAAAGTACCGCGTAGACAAACACCTTCGGATCTCGCTTTTCTTTCTCTCTGTTGGGTACTCCAACAAGTATAAAATGAAACAGAGGTGAAAAGCTATCATGATGCATCAAATCTTTGCCGATCATTAAGTGAAATCTTTTGAGAACTAACAACTTACTTCATATTTCTTCCCAAGAATTCCAATAAGGAGCCATGCAATAACTAAATGATTCAAACGACTGCGCTGCTCTGGTGGCCTTATTCATGAGTGGTGATCTGAACTCCTCAAAAACAGCAGGGGCGTGTTTCTTTAATAATCGCTCTACAGGTGGTGTCGAAGCCTACCTGCATCAGCTTTCACAGTCAAATTAACGTTATATTTCACCGGGGGATCGCTTTGTTCACTTAGATCACCAGAGCTCCTCCGAGCGACACATCGAAGGTAATTATCTAATTGAAACAATGAGCTGTTACATGAAACTATCGCAAGAAAAGTGATCAACTAGAAAATTTGATTAGAGAGCATACTTTACAATAATGTTCTTCCTGTTATGCTATTATGCCATAGGTTATTGTAATATCGTTTAACGCTCGAAGTGACTTTAAGTGAACTCTATCACAAGGAATTTGGTATTCGATTGACAGACTTTTATCGAATATAAGATGGCAGATCGATAATTTTATCTAAGACCAATGTTTTGGCTCCTAAATTGAAATATATACTACAACTTCGCGTGACATTCGATGACAAGTGTATTTTCCTGTTTGTTGTTTAGATTGTTTGTTTATTTAGAATGTTTGTTTATTTAGAATGTTTGTTTGTTTCTTACTTTTCAAAATTTCTCTATGCCTTTCTTACTATTCCAAAGACTGTCTTGCCAATTCTCTCAGTCATCCCTTGTGAACCATCAAATCAATCCGTTACCGAGTGATGGTTTGCTAGCTTTGCTCCTTGTTTAATTTTGTCTTCGTTTGCTTGTTTCCTTAAATTTTTCTTTAACTCCTGCCTACACTTAATTCTTTCTGATAACTAAATTACTGAAATTATTCGGGAAACCTGCCGCTGACGAACGATATTATATACATTTAATATCGCTCCAGACCAAGGTCAGCCTCTTGATGACTTTGATTCGCTGTAGAGAAAAAAAAAGACTCAAAATAGATGCTCATGTTCTCGACGCTATATTGTTACCTGAAGATGCACGAATTTAGTGAGAACAGACTAAAGCTAAAGAACCGAATAATAAAGAATAGCATAATATGGAATGTATCTACTTGCCCCATTGACATTTTATTGATTTTTTTTAGCAGCTAGCAATGGAGTATCTTGGAATTATCACAGCAATGTTAGTGATGCTGAGGAGTTGTTCTGCAGGTAAGACTATAGACTTCTCCAAGATCCAAGACGCCTCCGCTATCCGTCGAAGAATTTTGGAAATATTTTTGCTGATTATTCATTTCAGAATGTGACCAGGGATGGAAATCGTTTAACAGCAAGTGCTATAAAATGTTTGAGGAAGAAAAGTCATGGGATGAGGCGAAGACGTCCTGCGAGGGAACTGGTGCCCACTTGGTAAATATTGAATCTGCTGATGAAAACATTTTCCTGTTGAACAGTTTTCTGCAGTTATTACCGAACGATAATAATCGTGAGGCTTGGACTGGACTCTCAGATAAGAAAGAGGAAGGAGATTTTGTGTGGACTGATGGTGCGACACCAGAATATACAAACTGGGCGGCCGAACAACCCAATGATGAGGATGACGAACAAGACTGCGTCGAGATTGTGAATGGTGTTTTCTGGCCCGGAGGTTTGCCACAAATTGGACTTTGGAATGATTTCCAGTGTAAAAAGGCGTTGATGTTTATATGTGAAAAGGCGGAGTAACTGATAAATGCTTGTGTTCAAGGTACGATTTTATTCTTGAAGGACTTTATCAATGTAACGCTACATGATTCGAACGTATGCCTACGTCGCGTCTGTGTTTCTCACGTTACACAGACATCATTATTTGTAACCAAAGTTAAAGTGAATCTGTCCTCGTACACGCTAACCTTGAAACCCAACAGTCTGTAAGCTTTATTGCTATCGGCTTGGCTATTGTCATCATCGTTATTAACTTCATTATGGCGATTTTAATCGCGAATTATATGTATTTCAGCCACTTGATTAATTCGTTCCCCAAACCTTTGTTACAGGCCATGGCTGTGCCAGGTCTAAAGATGTTATTTACGTCACTTTGATTGAGAACTGTAAGAGTTTGCTTTCCTATCATAAATTAAAGTATCGACCAGAATGCCTCAAATGATTTTTTCTTTAACAGTAGGAATCTGAGGAAGAAAAAGCCGCACAACTTCGAAAATTAAAGCAAAACGGAGAACTATATAATCCAAAAGAAACGGGATTTCAAGAAATCATTCCATTAGTCCCTATAGGAACCATATATATGATGATTATTTTATCAAAATGAATTTTTTTCTTTTCCTGGACGTTGCTCGAAATGCATCTTCATCCTCAAATCTGTTAAAAATTACCGATAAGATTGTCAAACGACTACAAGGGAATATTAACGTGGTGAGAGTTTAAAATCAAGGCTTCAGTTAGCCGACTCTCCGTTTCAGGTGGTAAGCTGTTAACATCCTGCATGTAAGAACTTTCTCAAATCTTTGATGTTCAATGTTAAGCGCCCATAATAAAAGGAAACAGAACAATGCAATTTACATGGCGATGAAATCGATTCTTATTGCATTTATCTGACTGCTGACCGCTGATGCAGCATTGCTGTTCCAAATGGTCGCCTCAGTTTCTTGTCTGAACAGGTGGTCTTACGAAAGGTGCGAAAATTTTTAATAGAATCAGAGAAGGTTGGGTTTTCCTTTTGTTCAGAGATCTGGTGGCTCGATTCATGACATAGTCGAATCAATGTCTGTAAGACCAAAAGAAATCGTTCCATGTTATGCCTGGCTCCATTTACAATTCTGCTTTCACGAGAGATCGTGGCCATTAACTCCCGAAAAGAAAAGTGCTGTTTTCGAGGAGGTAAGTGTGCTGCATAGAGTTACATTCAAACACATGAAATGAGGTGTCGTAGTATTTCAAATTGCCAGCTTGTTTTTACCTTATTGTGTGGGTGTTACAATATTATATTCTTTTAAATCAGTTGCTTTTTTTTCTTTTTTTCTTCTTTATAGAGTTTTGAGAAATAGTTGCGTCTATCTAAGTGATATTTTTAATGTTAAAGACTGAGAAAAAAGGCCGGGTCTTTGGTATTATTAAGAAGTTAAAAAGAGAAAGAATACGAGCGTGCGTCTCTTTTTTTTGGTAGCAGGTAATTAGGCAAGACCTCTCCACCGAGAGTATTCCAAATTGCTCTCAAAGTGAACATGCAGCTATGTGGCTGAAATGAAGCATTTACTTAATCGAACACTTTTAATCATTTCATGTAGTTAGGTTTTTAGAGTATCATAGCCGTTTAAATCCTGTGTCCTTTTAGCAGTAAAATAGGATTTAGTTTCAACATTGAAGAGTCTTACGGTTCTAAATAATGTTTAGTGCTTGGCAGTGATATTTCGATCCTCAACGTGCCTTTGTACCAGAGAAAACTTTTTTCTTTATAGAAGAGAACTCTAAAAGATGACGGACATGCTCGAATATTTTGAGAAGACATCGATGTTTACTTGACCCTGATTAAGGGCGACCAACTTGAAATACAGAAAAACACTGTTAAAATTTAATGCATAATTGCAAAGTGACTAAAAATTGCATGCCTATATAATTTATCATTTAACTGTTTGGTTAAAGATAGTTAGGAACGGGAAGGTTGCTCCGTGGCCTTAAATTCTACCTTTTTCTTCGTCCTCGAGATTTTATTATCCATGACTACTTCGGCTGCAACTGAAATTCCAATTTGGTGGGGGGGGGGGGGGGGGGGGGGGGGGGGGGGAACAACACAACGATTGCTCTTGAGATTCCTTCAAAAGTGGATCTTATCTTATCGGAAAAATATCCTGTTTACAAGTACTTTACGACACGGGGAAAATTAGAACATCTGAAGTTGCTTCTTTTGTAGGATTGTTCAAGGATGAGGTTGGATGGAATCATTTTGGCATTGCTTATCGCTCACTGTGTTGCAGGTAAGCGTTAAATTCACGGTAAACGGCAAGAAAGCCAGGTCAGTGGTAGCACAGTCACTTGGAAATCTTTTTGGCTTATTTAGTTGTGTATTTGTTTGTTTTCTCTTTGAAGAATGCGAAGAAGGATGGGAAACACCCGGGGAGAATTCTAATTGCTACAAACTGTTCACGGAGAAGAAAACATGGGATGCTGCAAACGATGACTGCCGAAACATAAGCTCTCACTTGGTCAAGGTAGATTCTGAGGAAGAAAACACTTTTTTGCTGAGGACATTCCTGCAAATCCCCAAAGGCGAGGTAAATCGAGAGGCATGGATTGGACTCACGGATAAACTCGAGGAAGGAGAATTTGTCTGGACAGATGGAACACCAGCAGAGTACACAAACTGGGCCGATGAACAACCAAATGATGAGGATAATGAACAGGACTGCGGTGAAATGGCCAATGGAGTCTTCTGGCCTGACGGTCCACCGCAAATTGGAGTTTGGAACGATTTTCAGTGTGATGAAAATCTCATGTACATTTGTGAAAAGGAACCTTAAAAAAATATATCTAATTATTCTCTTTATCATAACTAATGGCTCAGCTCTCAATTTGAATTTTTTTGAAAGGGGAGAGGGTTTGGAAGACGTCAAAGACGTCCAGTCCTCAATGTGCGCACAATGGACTGATCATAATTCATAAACTGAGGGTTGGATCGAGGATTTTGGTTAGGTCACGATAAAGACTTAACCGAACCGAACCCAACAAGGCTCTTCCCCCCCCCCCCCCTCCTTCCTCATGCCCCCTTTATACTCTGTTGGCAACGACTGATCCCCTCCGTTGCCCCCGAAAACCATGAAATTTTCGAAATCTATTTATATATCTTTACATTCCTGTCAAAGTATCATTAATGATCTCTTAGCTGAGAATTCTCAAGTAGTAAAGATGCGTCATATATGGAGCACATCAAGTAAAATTGCTAATAATAACTCTTTATTGTATTATTCATGACGTTCGGATAAATAAGCTTCTAATACGCCGCAGTCGAAAAAAAAGGAAACCAGATATGCCTTACATCTCATACAATACGTAAAAAGTCCAACACATACATGTTCCTTGGCATGATAAGATTTGAGCGTGAATGATTTTCGAAATAGCCCAATAGATTTCAATATACTTATTCAAATTACTCGGTCACAACTCGTCGGAACGAATCATTTGTTAGATCTGAGGGGTTAAGCAACGATTTCATGCTAACTAAATATGTCCTTACAGTAATGTCGTCTTATTAAACTTCTTGCAAAGGCACGGAATGCTTTTACTGTAAAGTTATTCAAGCGCATAACATACCAAAGTCCAATAGTCGTTGATCTTCCTTAAGATCAGGAACTTACAATGCAATTTGTATTTTGTGAACGTCGCCCATCCTACAAAAACGCTCAAAACCTATTACAAAAACTCTCACCTCTAAATTTTCTAGATGTAGACCTCACGTATTTCGTACTCTAAATTACGCAGTGGCAAACCAAATAACCCTCTCGCAAAGATTTCCTTGTTCAATTTTTTAACTTGGTCCAAAAATAAAACGGGAAAATTCGAACATACGCTCTATGCGGTCTGAAGAGCAATATAGCAAATCATAAGAGGAAATATCGCCCAGCTTAGCTTGGTGGAAGGGAGTCCGTCGTGCTTCTTACAGCCCTTTGGTCAATTCCTTAAATAAAGTTCAAAAAATAGCTTCAATTTGACGAGCCCTCTCAACCTCAGCCAAGGTTAATCAATATCTGATATGACCACCAGTCCGGTCGAGAGCCCAATACTGTTAAATTGGTTACTGTGTGATATTGCCCTCGCCGTGAACGTTTTTGCGGTCATAGAAATCAATGCCTCTTTGCGTCAAAAATGAAGCACGTACTTAAAAGCTATCGAAAAAATTGAGTAGTGCGGTCAACAATGCCCTATAAAGGACGTGGTATCCTCCCCTAGTTCGCGGTCTATCGTCCGATTATTAATTGATCCATGATTTAAGCTGTATTTTAACCGACATAAGTAATGAAGAGGTGCCTGCACATCTCAGCATTTCTCGTGTGTTGAAAAGGCTTTCTCATCTAAACCTTGTACAGGTAAGAGTTCATTCGTTATTATAATATTTTCTTTATAATGTTGTTTAAAGATGGCTTTGTCTTAGAAATACGAGTACAAGGTATTAATTTCATTGCTCTAAAAATTAGGAATTTTTAGCTCTAATTGGGTTGCTAAATATTGTTTGTGATACACCTTTACATTATGACAAAATCTAACCGGCAACGTTCAGATTTCTACTCAGGACAACCTTTTTACGGTTTATTAAGATAAATTCGGCTAAATTAACCGGTTTTCTCCCGCAGAATGTAAATAATTGTTTATTTCTAATCTCTAGAATCGAGTCGTGAAAGTATTGTAGCTTTACTAAAGAAAAAGCATTTGAAAGCAGAATTGTTAGTGATTTGAAGCAATAAGGGGTTAAGAATCTGCGACTTCGAAGTAATCTAATTATTATTAATTTTTTTTTATGGTGCAGTGACCACAAAATGGCTCATGAGACAGCCTGGAGAAAGTTATACATCTTCCTGGTTCTTCTCGTAAACTGCCGAAACGTTCATTCGAAGAGACAAGGTAACTAACACTTCTCAACACGATATCTGTAGCTTAAAGAAGAAAAGCAAATCGCCAAAAAATGAGGAAAAAATAAAAAAACCTGAATTATGAACTAGGTTAGGATTTCTCAAAATCCAAAGGTAAGGTTTAGGTCCATAATAAAATCGATTCGTGTCGCTTCTACAATTCAATTAATTAACGATGAGGATCCAAAAATTAGTCATCGGATAATGATATTTTACTAGTTAAAAAGGCTAATGTTAATTAAAACATACAGTATTTATTTAATGTCATAAACGGATATTCCAATGCGCTGAATGATTTTCCAATCTTGTATTGTGGAATGACGCCCGATTATATTATAATTTTTTTCACCGAAATTAGAAATTGCTAATAGGAAGTCTCTTTACGTTTTACAAGGAAGTCTACAGATAATAATATCTTTAGGAGTACCCCGGATGGTGTGCGTGACAGTTATTTAAATGCGTGCGTGACAGTTATTTGAATGTTTCAATAGAAGTTGGAAAAAAAACGATGCATAATAAAACCAACGGGGAACTGCGCAGTCAAATTTAACTCCCCTCCCTATTTTTCGTTATTTGGTATCGTTGGTACATAAATTATTATTTAGGAATTTGACGAAAAATCTTAGTCTTACTACGGGTCGTTTAATTTGCATATCATTTGACAGTGAGGGAAGAATATCAAATATGTTGAAGGTTTTTTTGCTGACTTCCGTATTGATTTTCCGACGCAATATAACTATTTCTTAGTGACACATAAATATTTTCAAAATAAAATTAGCTTTTTTTTAAGAAAAAATATGCCAGTATTGGAATATCGACATCACAATCGTGTTGCCACATTAAAAAAAAATGGGACTTGCACTATAGCTTACTCGAGTCATTAAAGTGTCTCTCAAGAACATTGTGCGTAAGTATGAATGGCCTTAATTTTTTATCTCGACAATCAAACATTTTTGGTGCATCCTCGGGCGATGTCAGGCTAGATTCAAATTTAACTTATTCGAATTACTCCCCCACTGAGACACTGTGAGTTTACCTCATACTGCAAAATACCAAATATAAATGAAAGTTAGAAAAATCTGGAAAAAATGACAATTGCGATGACTAGTAAAGGCCAGTATTAACGTCGAATATTCCGTCTTTGTGATTTTACACTGACGTGACCGAAATTCAGTCTACATTGACGAAGAGTTATTTTAACATAATGGAAATGAAATCCGAACACTTTTTTTTTTATTTATGATATTCCATGCCATTTTAAGAACTCTACTTTTGAGGTTGCAGCCTGTGGTTAGATGAGTTCCTTATGAGCAAAAGTTAGCTTAGAAAGCTATACATCATTGCTTAACTTTTTTTTTAAAGTCTTCCACTTTCTTTTTCCTGATATGAATACCAACAAACTAAATGGGGCGAATTCCTACGTCCTGAAGACTAATATCCACTAAGCTGATTCAATTAGAGCTGAAGAGTGAAATCTTTCTGTTTTCTTCTTGAATCGTCCATCACAGCTTTGGTCTTTTGCAATTAAATTTTCAATATTTTGCTCACACCGGGCTTAATAAATGTTAAAACTATCTAATGGGCTGTGGGTTTGATTTTTGCAGAGATTATTACGAGACCGTCACTGAAGCATCGTATTGAAACGCCAATGAGTCTAACATCTTGTGTCTCTCACAATTCTTACATAAAAACAGTCTCTTTCCCTCTCTTAATTAGAAACTTCGCTTACCGCCTTTAGCTGTTGTTTTCCTTCAGAGAATTTAAGCATGACGTTAACAACAGTCAGCAAAAGCTGAATTTATTGCGATCTGTTTTCAACCGTTTGTGAACAACAGTGAAAATATCTCCACTAATGCGAGCCAAATATATGTTTACTATTTTTTTTACAGTAGTTCTTCAAGTAATAAAAGATGATCGGCTAGAATTAAATCGTTTGCTGCTGCTGTAAACATTTTCTTTGTCTTAAATTCACTGAAAGGGACACTTTTTTAGGCCGCTTACATGCGTTGGATTTGCGCTCTTTCGCCGCTTGAAGTAAAGGGTTTCATATATAGATAGATAATCTTTATTTACTTACGGACAATTCATCAGCCATAAAAACATTCAAATATATAAACATGCATTAAATGGATAAGATACGATAAAAACTATACTTAAACACAAACCTAACTAAAGCTGCTTTCCACGAATGCCGTGCTTGAACGTACTTCTTTTATTAAACGCTTAAATAACCCAAGGGACTCTGCTTGTCTTATGTCACGAGGAAGTCTGTTCCAAAGAGTGGCGCCGCTATAGCTAAAGCTATTTTTGTAACAGTTTTAGGTTATACGCAGTTTCTCGCCTTTCAAATTTAGAGCATAGATAATCTGGAGCTGAACCGTGCAGAGACGTATAGACCATTATGGATCTTAGTATTTGCTGCTGGGAAGCTAGGTTTTTCCATCTTAGAAGCTCAAACAAGTGACCAGCATCGGCATCATGATTTGAATAAGTCAAAACACGGGCTGTTCTGTTTTGTAGTTTCTGTACCTTGTTCTGCAAAGTTATCCTGCAGTTTCCCCAAACAATATTACAATAGTCAAAATGTGGCTGTGATCAGAGCTTGATATAGTAGAAGCAAAGTCGCTGGAGCGACAAGGTGCCTTATTCGTTTTATAGCCCCAATGCCCGAGGCGACTTTCTTTGTTAGTTCATCGATGTGACTGCACCAATCGAGTGTATTATCGATGGTTTTTCCAAGTGATTTTGCAGTGGTGACCTGGCTAACTTGATTGTCACAAATTGTGATCGTCGGAGAAAATGCGTGAGTACTGAATCTCTACCTTTGTACAAGTTAGTTTGTAGCACAAACGTTGCATTTATCTCAATAAAATGTTACGTTGTTTTTCTGTTATTTTTCAGGTTCGGTTCCAGTCACGTCATTAGGATGTTACCAAGATAGTGTGAGCTACCAAAGTCAAAGGATATTCCCCATTCTGTTTTTAAGAGTTAAACCTGCAAGGTGGTGGTCTGATAGTAACCATATCATACAATCATGTGCCTCTGCGGCTGCCGCCCGAGGATATCGGATATTTTCTATTCAGGATTTCGCAGAATGTCGCTGGGGTCCAAGCGCTGAAAGAGATTATGGCAAATATGGCCGTGGCTTGTACTGTTACAGAGGACTGGGATGGATGGGATCTGGCAGCGTGTACAGGGTTCAAAGTTCATCCCCAGGTAGGATACTTAGTAAATCGATATTAAATAGAGAATCAAGCTATAATCGCTGACTAAACTTGTTTCGACAATTGTTTCCCAAGGATACGATAAATATATTTCTCAAATTTTTACTGTCTTCCCCTATCTTCCTCAGAATTGAAGAAAAAACGTCATTCTCCCTCTCTTTCTTAATGTTGATGTGCCTTATTCCGATTTCAGTTAGCTTGTGTCTTGATTTCGTCAGTGTAAGATTCTTTAAATCAAAACATCTCATTTTTTTTTTTTTTGTTCCTCATTAGTAAATGGAAAATGGGCGAGCTGGTCTCGTTGGAGCTCATGTAGCGCCAGTTGTAATGGTGGAACTCGAACTCGTCGACGCAGCTGTACCAATCCTCTACCAGCCAATGGCGGTGCAAGGTGTTCTGGATCCAACTCACAGACGCAGTTTTGCAACAGCAACCGCTGCCATAGTAGAGGTAGGTGCTTCGCTATTCTTTACCTGTCAGCATTGGTATATCAGTTATCTTATTGAGAATTCTAATAACGTAACGATCGGATTTATTTTTGCAAGATTGCGCAGGGATTTTTTTATATATTGATTTCGCTCCAAAGTTTATTCGTGCGTAACTGATAGAGCGTCTCTAAAATCATATATCTGAACTGTAAATTACAAGTACCATGCCCCTTTTATCCTACTTCTTTACCTCAGAAGGTTGAAGGCTCTATGTAAAGATTAGATGAGCATCTAATTTTAAATCGATCGTTCATTGAGTATGATTCATTTTCACGCATCATTTTCACATTTCGGCTTAAAAAGACGAGTTTTGGTGACAAGCTACATGCAGGTTAGACACAAACAGGTGTGTGCTGCTGGGCGGGGGGAGGGGATGGGGGAGGGGAACTTTGGATGTTTGCGCCCTCCACCCCAATGACCAAAACATCTCTCTTTTTTCATGGGTTCTACAAATCCCTTTGCAGTTGTTCATGGTAGGTGGTCAGCATGGCGGCCATGGAGCACATGCTCTCGAAGCTGTGGCAGAGGATCACAAATCAGGACCAGAACATGCACCAACCCCGCTCCAAGAAATGGTGGCAATAACTGCCGAGGATCAAACACTCAAAGAAGGAGATGCAACTCAAAGAGATGCCCCGGTATACTTATTTAAAATGAGCGGCTTTTTTATGACTACAGAATACGTAATAAAAGACATCTAAATTTAAAAAAAAATCTGCAACTCGAATGAACCTGACAGTTTGTACTTTCTGAATGTCCAGTTTCCTTGTAACCATAAAATTCTGAAGTAATTCCGAAGTCAATAACGCAGAATTTTTTGAAAGTTATTTAAATGTTTCAAAAGTAGTCGGGGAAAAAACGATGCATAATAAAACCAACGGGGAACTGCGCAGTCAAGTACATCTATCCTTCATATTTTTCGTTATTTGGTATTGTTGGTATATAAAATTATTATTTAGGAATTTGACCAAAAATCTTAGGAAATAAAAAGCCAGAGTCTAACTACGGGTCGTTTAATTTGTATATCATTTGACTGTGGCGGAAGAATATTAATTATGTTGAAGGTTTTTTTGCTGACTTCCGTATTGATTTTCCGACGCAATATAACTATTTCCTGGTGACACATATATATTTTCAAAATAAAATTAGCTTTTTCTAAGGAAAAATATGCCAGTATTGGAATATCGATATCACAATCGTGTTGTCACATTAAAAAAAAAAATTCATTCAAGGGTATGGGGGAGGGGAACTTTGGATGTTTGTGCCCTCCACCCCAGTGAGCAAAATATCTCGCATTTTTCATGGGTTCTGCAAATCCCTTTGCAGTTGTTCGTGGTAGGTGGTCAGCATGGCAGCCGTGGAGCACATGCTCTCGAAGCTGTGGTAGAGGGACACAAATCAGGACCAGAACATGCACCAACCCCGCTCCAAGAAATGGTGGCAATAACTGCCGAGGATCAAGCACTCAAAGAAGGAGATGCGACTCAAAGAGATGTCCTGGTATACTAATTTTAACTGAGCGGCTTTTTTGTGACAACAGAATACGTAATTAAAGACATCTAAATTTAAAGAAAAATCTGCAACTCGAATGGACCTGACAGTTTGTAGTTTCTGAATGTGCAGTTTCCTTGTGACCATAAAATTCCGAAGTAATTCCGAATAACGCGGATTTTTATTGGGAGCATTATGATCACGAAAATGAAAATAATCTATCAAAAACGTGACGATACAATTGATTAGCCGGACTCTTACATCGTGAAACAAACGGTTATTAAATAAAACCACGATTAACGACAACATTTTCTATAAAAACTATATAACTACATAAATCAACGCGTAAGTGGTAATAACAAGAAGGAGCATTTTTCTCAATTGTTGTTTGTATCTTTGTTGCTGTTTAACTTTAGTTAATGGAGGCTGGTCACGCTGGCGACGGTGGAGCTCCTGCTCCAGAAGTTGTGGGGGTGGATCACAGCGAACAGTTAGGACATGTACCAACCCCCCTCCAAGAAATGGAGGGTCCACATGTCCAGGAAGGAGCATTTTAGTCCGTTTATGCAATACCAACCGCTGTCCAGGTAACTCTTTGGAGAATGTTCTTGATATATTGAAGTGATGGTTATCAGTGAATTAGAAATGTAATCCTCATGTCCTTCTCAGTGTAGACAAAGAAAGTTGAGGAAATCCTCTTTCTTCAGTTTCACTATTTTCAATTCTTGACAGCTATTTTCAGTATGTCAATGTTACTTAAGAAAGCAACTTAAGATATAAGAGCGAGAATGTTTGTGCCTCTGAAGAAAGTTGTATCATCTTAACTGGAAGGAAGTTTTTTAGCTTTCTCAAATCAAAGTAATGTTTGTTTTTTTAGCTGTCTAGAGATCTGATAATTATGTTTCCATGGTTTCCTCACAGGTTGTGTGGAAAGTAGCATAGTAACCGATAGATGTGGCCAGCGGTGTATGTGTTCACGTGGTCGCTTTATCCAGTGCACTCGTGTGAGACGGGAATTTACAGCCATGTCAAGAGCAGACCGTGAAAAATACGTCAGAATTGTTCGCACTGTGTCAACAGACCCCAGATACAAACCAGAATATGACAGAGTAATAACCCAACATAGAACAATATTCAATGATGGGATTCACCAGCGAGATTTGTTCTTACCATGGCATAGATGGTACCTACTGCAATATGAGAACCTTCTTCGACGCGTAGACTGTACAGTGACAGTACCTTACTGGGACTGGAGCCAGGTATCACGTTCTCCATGGCGCGGTAGAGCGTCTGATTTGTGGTTCTCAGGAAATAGTGGTTTTGGTGGGAATGGAGAAAAAACACCTCAACAGTGTGTGACAAGTGGTCCGTTTAGGCGAGGAGTTTGGAATGTTGTGCCATCAGCCGGGGGTGGCTGTCTCCGTCGCCAGTTTAATCTAAGTGACAATACCCCTGATTCCGCTGCAGTCGCAGAGGTGTTAAGGATTCCTCATTCGGAATTTGATTCCTTCGAGATTGCGCTGCGAATAAACCTTCATGACACTGTACACTGCTTAATTGGAGGCACCATGTGTTCATTCGACTCAGCTGCTGCCCCTGAATTTATGCTGCACCATGGTTTTATAGATAAGATATGGGCAGACTGGCAAAGAAGGAGTAGAAATCACATGAATGCTCATTTTCCCTCCGTCACTACACCCATGCCCGGCACAAACCAGCTCCGTACAACAGTAGTTTTGAATAACTTAAGATTACCGGGAGGGGTACGAGTGCAGTTCCAGAATCCACCGAGACCGCATATAAGAAACCGTTTTGGAGGTAATTAGCCCGTTGTTTCATCATTATCACTGTCATCACCGTATTGGTTTTCATCATAATAGTTATCAGTGTTATTGTGTTTTGTTATTGTTATCATAATAAACAATTTTTCACCAAAGTGGAGGTGAATAATGGTGGATATTTATCAGGTCGCGAAAGTGCAAGAAAAATATCAACCACTTTAACCGACACTGGAGGTAAATAATCCAGATACAGATACACTTGCCGAAAAAATAGTTTATTTCTCTCAATACAACAAAAAAGGATCGAAAATTTAACTCTCGAAGCGCGGTATTGTTTCTTTGGCTGCTTGGAGGTGAATAGTCCTTGCTATTCACTTCCGATCTAGCCAATAAGTTTGCACGAAAATAACTATTCACTTGTGTGGTCTATACAATTTTTAATTATTATCATATTATTATTACTATTATCATCATTATTATCATAGTGATCATCATCATTATTTCTGTCATCATCATCCACAGACTGTGACAAATAGAGGAAAAACAAAAATAGGGAAAAATTAAATTCTTCCAAAAAGTCCTCTCAGGTTTTTTTGATAACAAGGATAAAGTTAACGCTATAATTTGATTCTCGACGGGATAGAAATATATTACTTGTATTGTTCTGCAAGATTTTGTTAAAAAATAGTTGTCTTAGATAGATATCGAAACGATTTCAGAGGATGACATCTCGTATAGAAAGGCCTTTCTACAAGTTGATTTATCATTATGTGTTCCAGGATTTTCGATCAGACCTCTGCCTCCTTACAAATCATTTTAACAAGCCGTCTAGTATTCACCCTCGGTAGATGCTTTCATGAGCACGCGGGTATAGGACAAGTAGGATACAACGGTTATCGATCGATTGATATTAATTGAACATTTTCTAATGTATGTCTTCTTACTAAACCCTTTCAGCCTTGACTACAAATTCGCTTGGCCAAGCTTCACGAGGGAAGTTTTCTGTCCTTAGTGAAAAAGCTATGAGGCTGTTCAACGTCTCCAAAACAGAGGAGGAGAAGGCAAGACGACTAGGAATTTGGTTGCTGCCTACACACCAACGAGCTGGAAAGAGAAACTCCATGGACACCTCAATAGATTTTGGGTTTGATCCTTAGTCATTAATTTGCAACGATATCTCGCTAGCTTTATCAAAATCTACTTTTATCTCCATTGTCAATCATCCTTGCGCTCTTTAAATCCTCAATGAGAAGTACAGCCAACTGATGTTAAGTATGTGTTTGAAATTGTGGCATATTGTCTCATTTTGTTAGTTGCTGACTTCTTTGAATCAATGCAGATAAACTTTGCGCTTAACCATTAAAATCCCTAAGTTTAACTTTTTTTTAATATGGTCTATTTAGAAAGGTGCTGGCATAGGAGGATTCGACCTTTGACCTTTGACCTCCAAGATCCAGATCTTCACTCAATTCTCAGCTCTATCTGTAAACGTTCTCTTTCATTTAGGACTTAGGGTTTGACGTTTCGTAAAACAGTATCCTTTACTTTCATCACTATTCGTCTGAAAGATGTATTTTGATATTTTGAAAAGGAATTCCTTTTTTGGTAGCTCCTGGGATTGAAAGGATTCCTTAGGTATAAGCCATATATAAAAAACCTAAATTTTTGCAAATAGCGCTTTTCAACACCCTTGTTCTTATTTTCATAAGTAAATAAATGAAACTTTCCTTTTTCAATGACTCCAATTCACTTCTGATAATGATATTCCATTGTGCATTGCGCTACCTATTCCGAACGTTGCTGTTGTAAGTTTTGATTAAACATGGTTTTCTGAATTACTTCTTCGATTACCCACTGTGTCAGGTGACGTATGGTTTTCCAAATGTGGAATGTTTTAAAATGATCCTTCGTCAGCTGGCTGCATTTGGACA